AAGGAAGTTCAAGCTTCAATGAAGTCACAGACAGAAAACAAGGTTCTGGGAGTTTATAAATACCAAATGATACGATAATATGACTATCTCTGTTCTAGTCTACCATAAAGGTAATCTCACGTATTACATACTGATTTTTAAAAATCAGATTGTGTTTGTGGCCTATATTACTTTTTTCCCCTGTATAACTTTTTTTGTCTGCCAGTCTCAAGTTTTTTTAAAATCCTATTTGTGTAGACTTTGAGATATGAATTCATTAAAGTAGCCAAATCCCATTTTTTTTTCTCACCCACTTTGAACTTCAATTTCCTCTACCAAGAACTTCCTTATCACCACTGAGGATCTGTGATATCACAGAGCTGCTCTGAACCACCTCTGCTTCCTAGCTCATAGCTGGCCTGCTTCCCTCAGCAAAGACCCATATGTTGCTGAGTGTCCCAATAGACGACCAGAGCACAGTATGATCCACAGAGCACAACTCTGGATCCTGGGGAAGCCAATTTTCTCTACCTAAAAATAAGCTGCTCTTTATCCTGTGACTTTAACCCTGGCAACCAACTCTCTAGGTCAAGTTACTGAAAAACAGTAACAGTGACTATGATCTACATAATGCAAAACAACACACTGCCATGGAGTCGAAACCAACTCATAGCAACCCCTCCTTGGGTTTCCAATGCGGTATCACTACGGAATTAGATTGCCTAACCTTCCTTCCAAGGAGTGGCTGGGGAGTTTGAACTGCCAGCCTTCTGGTTAACAGTCAAACGCCTTAGGCACTATGCCACTGGAGCTCCTGACTATGATCTGTTGTGTTGTTGTTATGTGCCATGGAGTCGGATGCGACTCATAGCGACCCCTCCTTGGGTTTCCAAGGCAGTATCACTAAGGAAGTATATTGCCCAACCTTCCTTCTGAGGAGTGGCTGGTGGGTTTGAACCGCCAGCCTTCTGGTTAGCAGTCAAGTGCCTTAGCCACTATGCTACCAGAACTCCTGACTATGATCTAGTACATCCCAAAACCCATTGCCATCAAGTAGATCCTGACTCACAGCAATCCTACAGGACAGTAGAACTGCCCCAGAGGGTTTCCAAAGCTATAATCTTTATAGGAGACTGCCATGCGTTTCTCCCAGGGAACAGCTCGTCAGTTCAACCACTGCACCCACAGGGCTCCTGTGATCCAGTATAGACTTATTAAAATTATTCAAAAACCTCAAGTTCTGTCTTTGTAGTCCTGTTAAGCCAGTATTTATATAGGTAAGCAGTTCCTTCCTAAAAAGCATTATCACTTTAGTAAGCCCTACAATATCAATTAAAATATTAATATCTAGTAATTTTTAATTTATAATATGGTATAATGTATATTTTAAAAGTTTTCAGGGACATAATGGATTTATCACAATTATAGCATTTTATATATTCATAAAGGAAATTTATCTAGTTTTAAATCTGGAATTGAGAGTCAAATTTCACAGAAGTTTAATTATTTTAGATGAAGTCTGTGATGGTTATGTTTGTGTGTCAACATAGCTGGGCCTGGTTGAGGGGCTGGACAACTGGTGGTAGTATTCCCCATGATGAGACTGGTAATCAACTCCATGGTGGAATCTATTGTGAGCAACTGAGTAGTTGCCTTTGGGTATGTGGTCTGCTTCCCGTATATAAGCAGGAGCTTTGGGAATGGTCTCTAGCCTTTGGCATGCTTGGACCCTGCATGTAGTAGCCATGTCGTTGCTCAGCAGCCTGCTATGCTCTACCGACCCTGGGACTTACAACAGACTTAAGTTAATGGCCTGCCATGTGGATTTGTAACACTGGGACTGTGCCTTTTTACTTGTCAACCTTCGGGCTTCTCACCCTTAGCAGCCAACAGCTGTCTGAGTAAAGAAATGCCTCTAACTCCAGTGGGCCGGGAGCAGGAGGCAGAGCTGTACCCCAAGGTTGAGGGGCTTTCACCCAGCCCCTCGAGCCTGGCACTTTGAACTTGGACATAAAGCCTCCAAATTATCAGAATAAACTCCCGTTTGTTAAGACCATCCCATTTGTGGTATATTTCTTGTCAGAGTGGCACTAGGTAACCAGAACAAAGTCTATTTGTTAGACTTCAATCATAATTTTTATAGAATGACTCATATTATATTTTCTGAGAAGGGGTCAGAAAAACTCATTCTTGTAAATAACCAAGTATTGACTAAAAAGAAAGAAAACCCTGAAAGATTAGAATACTTAAAAACAAAACATCTGTTTAGCGTGTTATACATAGTATACATAATATTATACATAGTATTATATGAACAGGTTGTTGTCAGGTGCCATTGAGTCGGTTCCAACTCATAGTGACAACAGAACAAAATACTGCCCAGTCCTAGGCCATCCTCACAACCATTACTATGCTTGAGCCCATCACTGCAGTCTACTGTGTCAATTCATCTTGTTGAGGGTCTTCCTCTTTTTCACTGATCCTCCACTTCACCAAGCATGAAGTCCCTTTTCCATGGACAGTTCCCACATCACAACATGACCAAAGTACAGAAGGCAAAGTCTCATCATCCTCGCTTCTAAAGAGCATTCCAGCTACTTTCCATCCAAGGTAGATTTGTTTGTTCTCCTGGCAGTTCATGGTATATTCAATATTCTTCACCAGCAACATGATTCAAATGCATCAATTCTTCTTCAGTCTTCCTTATTCATAGTCTTTTGCATGCAGATGAAGTGACTGAAAATACTATGGCTGGGGTCAGATACACATTGGTCTTCAAAGTGACATCTTTGCTCTTTAACACTTTAAAGAGGTCTTTTGCAGCAGATCTGCCCAATGCAACATTATTTATACTAAATTATTAATTTATAATATATATTACGTGATGTTGTTAGTTTATAATTTGTTATATTAATATTGTAATAGTTTATTATGCTTACCAGAAAACTTGATCTCAGTAGAGTTAAACATAGTTTTCCTAAACATCAGTGGGCCAGATTTCTAAAATGAAAAACAAAGAAATATAGAAAGAGCTTGTTAAAAGATTTCTCTACTGTTTAAAAGTATATACAGTTTTACCCTAGAAAATAAATCATTCTAATCCTTGTACTCCTCCCTATGACTAGTGTGATTTTTTTTTTTTTTTTTAATGCAAACCTGATTAAATCACTCACTTTCTTAAAACCTGGAACCATGCATCTACTCTGCAGTTGATGTGAGGGTCAGCAGTGCGCCTGCCTCTGGGGATCTCCGCCAAAAGACAGACATACATGAGATAAGTGTTGCTGCCATCCCTTGATTTATGCTGCTCAGATGTGATATGAGCTATCTATTTGCATGTTCTCTTCTTAGGAGCAATAGGAATGTACTTTTGATATAACAACTATCTTCTACCCAAAGTTGTTATGGTTTACTACTGTGCTTAAACAACCAAAATTTTTCCTGTAGCCTACAGGATCCTGAATAATTAAGACCTGCCTACCTCTCTAGCAATAGCAATTTTCCTTCAGTTCTTCAAGACCTTAGTGGTGAACCTGAAAACCTACTCTGGAAGTCTTCTGTGGTACCCCACATCAGGCCTTCCTCTGGAAGTCTTCTGTGGTACCCCATATCAGGCCAAGCTCTCCCCTATATGGCTCTAGTACCCACTCTTCTTCAGAACCCTCATCACAGTTCAAACTACATAATTGGTTATTCTCTGTTATTTAATGTCTGTCTTCCTCAAGAATAAAAATCCAGTGAGAAGGGATTGTGCTTTACGAATGAATGATTAGGATTTAAAGAAAAATAGTCTTTCTTGGTAACCTCTTCCCCTCTCCCACACAGTTTCAACAGTAATAATAAAATCCCTACCTTGGATCTCTCCTCTGAGCTCCAGGTCCACATATTCAATTGCCTAATGGACTTGTCCACTGGGATGTCTACAAACACACCCCACTAACCTGCCCAAAACTAGACACATCCCTCTCTGTTCCTCATCATCTCTTCCTACATTGTCTACCTTGGCTGAAGATGGCACTAATCCAGTTACTCAAACCATGGCTCCTTTCAGCCCCTCACCTCTACCATCCAATATGCCTACTTATCTCACAAACACTTCTTCAGTTTAGTTTTCCTCTCCATCCCTGCCACCATTGCCCCAATTCAGAAACTCAACACTTCTCCATTAACTTAACTGGTACCTCTGACTCCAGAACTAAGCTAAGTAACTAATCCTTAAGTAGCAGCCCAAATGATTATTAGCATTTATGTCTAAAATCTTTAAATGGCTCTCCCACATTCACACCCAAAAATAGCTATTGGGGTCTGGGACCTAATTAAATATACAAAGGGATTTATTTGGTCCACAAGAAGCCTTTCTGCAAAACTCTGAATTAGCTGAACAGATTTAAAATTTGTATTTCACATAATAAAAATATGGATTCTGACTTCACTTCAAAAGAAAAAACAAAGAGAACTGGCAATTCTGTGCCTATACTGCCATGCCACATGGTAACCACCAGCTGCAGCCGAATGGCAGCTGCCCTCTTCATAAAGAACAGGCACTCTATAATCTACTACATTCCCCACCACCCCCTCCAGTCCTAAACCAAGCTCACTTCACCCACTGAAATGACTTCCTTAACCCCTGCAAGTCCTACAATTTGAGACCCTTGGCCTCAGGTTCAAGGCCAAGCTTCTGGTAACCCAAGTCCCCTCTAACACCCCCTCCAACCCTGCGTCATTCAGCAAAAACACCAGGAATTTCCCACACTCTATGGTAGTGGCTACTGCTCTAACCTCCCACCCCCTTCTTTACAAAGGTAATACCTACACATCTTAGGCCAGGCCAGACACCTCCTCCAGAAAGCAGGTTAGGTGGCTCCCTACTATACTCCAGTATCATCCCAAGTATGTCACCATATATGAGATAATTATCTGCTCATGAATCTATCCTCCCTACTATCATCTAAACATCTTGAGAGAAGAGCCTGTGTTAAAATTTATCTTTGCAACACCAATGACAAGCATAGGGCATGGCACATTGTAGGTATACAAATTGTTTCCTGAACTTTACTATCAAAAGAACTATTTCTTGATGGACATATCTCTTCCCGCTTTGAAGGACAAGTTTTAGAAACTTGAAATGGGGAAAAATGAGTCCATTCTTTGTAAAGGAGAGCTTTATACAGATCTAAGTCACACACAAATAAATCTGGCTGACTAAAGATTATGTGGGACCCAGGGAACAAACTTTTCTTCCTTATGTGCAGGAAGCAAAGATATTCTTCTCTCTGTTCTTTGGACTCATGCCACTTGAATTACACTTGGCAAAGATTCTTACAGATATGCACAAGTAGTCAATCTGTACATAGTTGATCTCTTCCCTTATCATCTAATAAAGTTTATAATCTTGCCCATTCACTACAGAAGCTGAGGGAAACCATGAGTGTGGTTCCCTGAGCTTTGCTTTTTACTGGTCAGATAAATTCAATAATGCAGCTATGCAGGCTGGTGCACAAAAGAGGGTAACTACAAAATAAAAGGCTTCCTGGAAGAAATGACTGCACTGAGCCTGAAAACTTCTGAAAGATACCTACATTTGTTCCTCTGTGTAGCTTTTGTGTTGTAGAAGTATCTGTAGCCTCTGGTTACTTTCTTTGTCTGCTTGAGGAAGTCAAAATACGTTTCAACTTTAGAACTTGGACATCATTTCAATGCCTGTAGAAAACACTCATCCCAAACACAGAGCTGGGTGAGTCATGTGAGCTAGGAAAAACAGGAGATAATGCCTCTACCCAACTTCCTGTCTCTCTCTCGCTAGATTTTCCATAATGCTATCCCTGCATCCCTCCCACTTCATCTCACCAACTACTGGACGCCAAGTTCTCATATGGCCTGCCTGCTCTGGAAAGGAAGAGTTTCCACCAACTCATCCCTCCAGACTCGCCTTTCAAACACTCCTTAACCACCCCACCTCCACACACACAATCCCGGAACTCCGATAAGAGCTGCAGGAAATTAGAGAACCCAAAAAGTGGAAAAAAGGGATAGGTGGCTATTCCATGTCATTGGGGAGGGGGGTGAGGAAGCGACATCTGTTCTAAGTTTATGCCGAAACAAAGCCCCAGAAAATTTTTTCTGTGGCCTCATAGATGTGCTTCACCCACGCAGAAAGTGAGTCGAATCCTAAAGACCCTCTAGTAGTGCCCAGAAATTTTGGGCTCAGGGTTGAATAAAAAAGGGCCTGATATAGACAGCGGGACGCCAGTACTCTGGGAAAAGTGATCCTCATTCATAAACAATGATAGCGCTTAGAAGGGAGAGCCATCCCCAAGACCAATAACAACAACAAAAAAAAAAACCCTAATAACTGAGAAAAGGCCCAAAGTGTACGAGATGATCCGGAGCTGGCCCGGCAGGGACGTGATGAACAAGCCTGGTGCCGGGCTCCTGGGATTGAACACGTGGAACCCAGGGAGCTGCGGGAGAACCCGAAGGACCCAAAGACGCGCCCCGCCTCGGTTCCAACACCCACTTACGTCGTTGACTGTCGCTACCCAGAACCCGGGCTCGGGGACGGCGTCCACAGCCGCCAGGGCCCAGCATAGTAGACACACAGCGACACGCAGCAGCGGGACCCCGGCAGGAAAAGAAGAGCAGTGGCGGGGAAAACTCGAGACCCAAGCATTGCAGGCAGCAGCCATCTTGACGTGGAAGCCGCACCTGGCGCCCTGTGACCCCGGCTACGCCCTAAGCCCTACACCTAGTGTAGCTCCGCCCCCAAAAGGCTGGTGGGGTTAGAGAGGTGAGGCTCCTGTTGAGAAGGCGTGCCTAAGAGATGGAGGAAGGGGCTTGAGCCAGGGCCGTAGAGGAGGGGCTTGAGCCTGAGATGCTGGTCGGGAGCCTGGAGGCGGGGCCAGGGCTTGGGAAAAGGAGCCGTAGTGGGGAGCGTGGAGATTAACTAGGTCTGGGCGTGGAGGCGGGCCCAAAGCCTGGGAAGCGGAACCTGAAGTGGGCGGAGGGGGACGTTCACGGTCCGGTACCCGGGAAACTTGAGTCCAAGTGGACGCAGGACCAGGATTTGTAGGCGATTTCAGGGCTGGGTCCTGGAGGCGGGAGATCTGGCTTAGGACCGGGCTGGACTTGAGGCGAAGCCGCTTGTTCGTGACTCCACACGGCAGCGGCTGCGGTCGCATCCTCAGAGAAGGATGTGCGGGCCAAAGTTTTGCTTCCCTTGTCTCAGTTTCTTGCTTCGGCTGTTCTTAGCCCTGCCCCGACCCTCGTTGCTCTGGCGAAACAAATTATTCTCTTTAAATACCTGAGAAGAGCTTTACAGCTATTGCCAGTTGAATAAAAGTTACTGTGTTGTAAGAAGAATGTAGGTAGTATAGCTAATAATTTTTAGAACAAAGTTGCCAAATTGCTTAAAACCCAGTGGAGCAGGGCTTAGGTTGGGCTATTGTGTACCTCACCTGTCATTTACAACTATGGAAGCTGAATACATGTCTCGCTGTCAAAGAGAACTAATTAATTTATTATCAAATGTAAATAATGTCCAGAGGGAGAATACAATCCTTAATTAACATTGTTATTAACGTAAAATAGAATCAATTATAATCAAGAGGCTCTAACTGCCTTACCAGAAAGCTAATCATTCAATGAAAATTTTAAGAACCTACTCTGTACTTGTCACTGGGTGGCTCAAACTGTTGGCAGTTGGAACCCCTCTGGCAGTGTTGTGGAAGGCTTGATGATCTTCCATAAATTACAGCCAAGAAACATCTATGGAGCAGTTCTATTCTGTAACACATGCGGTTTGCTGGTCTGATGATAGATCCTGGTAGGACCACTGAGACTATGGCCCCTCCCTAGCTGCCCTTCAGGTATGGAAATGAACCCACACCTGTGGTTTCCAGCCAAACAAAAGAAAGGCATATGAGTTGAACATTTACCTGAGGTAGAAACACTCCTTGGAGAGAACAATCATGGGAGAAAGAAGGGCTGCTTTTGCACAGGGAGACAGCTCAGGGGGCAGGAGTGCATGAAGGGATGGACACAGGGAAGAGGTAACTATGGGGAGGAAGCGGGAGGGGAGCTGTTGCATTGTGGTAAACTGTGGTCAATGACATGAGACAAAGTATATGTGAACTGCTGTGTGGAAAGTGAATTTGCTCTGTAAATCTTCACCCAAATCATAGTAAAAAAGAAAAAAAAAAAGAATTTTTTAGAATAATAGATAGTGGCCTCAACTGCAGCCATAGGGATGGAGATTTAGATGGATTCCAGAGACATGGAAATAGAGATTTTAATGAAAAAACCTTGGTGACTGGCTAGATATTGGGGCTTAGATAGGAGAGGAGTTGAGGCTGGTACCCAAATCTCTGACTGCAACAACGGAAATGTGAAATACCAGGAAGAAAAGCAAGTTTGAACAAGTTAAATCTAAATTGCCCCATGGGACATCCAAAGAAGTGGACACATCAATCTCCGACTCTTACATCAGGAAAGCAATTGGAACTTTGGGATTACCTGCACGTAGATAGAGACTGAAGCCATGAGAGAGTGTGAGATAGCCTTGGGAGACCAGGACAGGGGAAGGAAAGGAGCACTGGAAGCTAATCCTGAAAAGCAAAGGATCACAGAAGGTTAGACCATCTCAATCCTGGCTGCACAGGAAGTCATGAGCTTTACAAAATTCCAAGGCACCAATTTGGGAAAGATGGTGGCAGTGGAGATTACATAGTTTTTTAAATCCACCTGTTGTTGTGTGATGTCAAGTTGATTTTAACTCACAGTGACCCTATAGGACAGAGTAGAACTGCACCATAGAGTTCTTGAAGGTGTAATCTTTACAGAAGCAAATTACCACAGCTTTCTCCAGTGGAGCAGCCGGTAGGTTCAAAACACTCACATTTTAGTTGGCAGCCAAGTGCTTAACTACTCCACCACCAGGGCTCCTTAATCTACCTGAATCCTCCCATAATCCTCTACTATGACAGAGCAACCAAAAAACCACAGGCAACATGCATAATACAGCCAAGACAAAGTATTCCTACAAAACCCCAAATACAGATGAGTGTTATCCGCATCTAGGCAAGGGGAAGTCGAGGAAAAAATGGAACGTTGGGTGGACCTGAGCATAGGAGAGCCCCATATCCCTAGCAGGCACTCACTGGACATCCAAGAACAGCAGCCAGGGCAGAGAGGGGGCTCTGCCGGATCTAATTCAGAGGTGAGGGTAAAAGGACCATAAGAAAATGTCTGATGGTGCTGGAGGAGTCTGTGCTGCAGAAATTCTTAAAACTAACACATGGAGGCTTCCACCCAAAACAAAGCCTTGTAGTAAAGAGAAACTGTCGCAAGCAGAATTCAAACACAGCAGACAGGAACAGTGAGAAAAAAGGAAGGAGAAAGTTCAGATAAAAATGGGTGAAGTGAGCAAACCCTGGATGTCTGAGCAAGTTCAAGGCTATGTTTTAAAAGTATCTCATAAAAACAAGAGGGAGCTCTAGAGCATGAAGTTAGAAAAAGTTATTCAGTTCAGTACTTCTTCCAAAAAGTTCAAGAAAACTAATTACACATTAAAATAAGTGCAAAAAGGGCAAGAAGGCCGCATATTCTGACCTCCTAGAACCCCACAAGAGGAAGACAGGGTTACCAGCAGTAACCCAAGGCCTATTGCTGCCAGGCCAGGTGTGCTGTCTCCCTCCAGCCCTTTCTCCAACCGTTCCTCCCAAAGCACCCACCTCCTCTCTCCTGGGTTCACTAATTCCCTGCAGTGGCCACACAGAGCTCACAGATTATGGGGTTTATTAGGGAAGCACCACAGGCTACAATTTGAGTTCAGGAAAAAAAACGCTTAGTCTCTCTCCCAGCCCACCATCCCTCAGCCAACAGTCTCTCACAGTCTCTTTCCCAGCAATGCTGGTCTCTCAGTGTCTCACTCAGCAATGCGTGTCTCTTGCGTCTCTTTCCCAGCAGTGTGTGTCTCAGGAGCGCGTGTCTCTTTCAGCAGCATGTCTTCCTCAACCAGCAGTCAGAGAGTTCTGCCTCTAGGAGGCCTCCTTTTGAGCCTGGCAGACTGGCCAAACTAGCCAATCACAGCATCATAACTCTAAGCACCTAAGAGAGAGTGGGAAACTCCTAGAACATTGTTTTGTGCCACTCCCAACAGAAATACTCCAGGTGGGCGACTTTAGCAATCAGGATCTCCTCAGTTGCTAATAGCAATTCCCACCTTCGAGTTTACAAAGACTTACGGGTAGAAAAGCCACACTAAGTAATTTACTACACCGCAATAAGCAATAGTAAAATTGTGATGCAGACGAAGTTATTATGAAATAAAAGAAAATATAGACTACAGTACACACTTCAATGAAAAATGAAAGCATGCCAGAAAGACATGCCACAAAAGCCTTGAAAACTGCAACCTAGTACTTCAAAATTAAATTAAGAAAGGAGATGTGAATAAACAACATAAATCAGAATTAGAAAACATAGGAGAGAAGGTGATAGAATTCAGGAAAGAATGAGAAAAAATATTTCAGAAATAAAGACTAGAAGGGAAGCTAGAATGAATAAAAATAATAAATATTAACAAGAAAGAGATGAAACTGAGATGATTATTAAAAATCTAAAATAATGAAATAATTGGAATTCATGAGGACATGTCAGATATCGAAAATAAATTGTTGTTGTTGTTGTTATGTGCCGTTGAGTCGGCCCCGACTCATGGCGACCCCTCCTTGGGTTTCCGAGGCAGTATCACTACGGAAGTAGGATTGCCCAACCTTCCTTCCGAGGAGTGGCTGGTGGGTTTGAACTGCCAGCCATCTGGTTAGCAGGCAAGTGTCTTATCCACTATGCTACCAGAGCTCCTAAATAAATAAAGGGCTGATATTCATATAATAGAAGATCCTGAAGAAAAAAAGTAATGCAACATAACAAACACAAAAAATATAATTCAAGAAAATGTTCCCAAAATAAAAAGAACTTGAAACCATGTAATAAAAGGGTATAGGGGAAATTGACTCTGGAAGACCAATAAAATAAAACATATTTGAGTAAAAATTACTAGGATTTCTTTTAAGGAAAAATTATTTGTGTCTCTAAGCCAAAAAAAATGAATAATATTTATAAGAAAAAATTAGATTGTCATGAACATTTTTTATAATAATGCTTTATGCCAGAAGACAATGAAGTATTTAAGATACTCAAAAAAACATCAAACATGCAATCAAGATGCACTGATAATTACTGGTAATTAGAATGCAAAAGTTGAAAACAAGGAAGAAGGATCATTAGTTGGAAAATATGGCCTTAGTGATAGAATCAACACAGGAGATTGCATGGTACAATTTTGCCATGTTGTTTTCAACAACATAAATGGGGACTATACATGTGGACCTTGCTGGATGGAATACACAGGAATCAAATTGAATATAACTGTGGAAAGAGATAATGGAGAAGTTCAGTATTATCAGTCAAAAAAAGATCAGACCCTGACTGTGGAACAGACCATCAATTGCTTATATGCAAGATCAAGTTGAAGCTGAAAGAAATTAAAACAAGTCCATGAGAGCCAAAGTACAACCTTGAGTATATCCCATCTGAGTTTAGAGACCATCTCAAGAATAGATTTGACACACTGAACACTAGTGGCTGAAGACCAGAAAAGTTGTGGGATGACATCAAGGACCTCATG